CCTGGGAATGATTCAGGGGTACCCAAGGGTGTTTCCAGGTGGCCCAGAAGTGTCCCAAGCATCCCAGGGATGATCCAGGGGTACTCAGGGGATTCCCAGGCATCCTGGGGGTGACCCAGGGGGGTCCCAGGTGTCCCCATGCGGATCAGGGGCTGTGGGCAGCCCCTGCCAGGGACTCAGAAGGGCAGTGTGTCCATGAAAATCTTGTCAACGATGGGTGGTGGCGGCACCAGGTCCTCCAGCTTGAGGTAGAAGATGCGCTGGAGACCCTGAGTGCAGAGGCTGCGCAGCTCCGGCAGCTTTCCCAGCAGCTTGGGGAGGCAGCGCGGGCCGGGCTCGGCCCCTGCCGCTGCCACGTGGTCCTTCAGGCAGCCCACGATGCGGTTCTGCAGCTCCTCCACCCTCTTCGGCTCCTTCAGCCCGTGCCTGTCTGCAGGGGACACGCAGGGCCGTGCCTGTCTGCAGGGGACACGAAGGGCCGTGAGGCTGCAGTGGTGGCCACGGGGAGGAGACGGGGACAGAGGTGGTGCTGGTCTCACCTGTGATGATGACGAGGGCGGCGAGGCAGGAGAAGGAGGGGACGTCGACGCTCATGCGGTGAAGGCTCTGGGAGAACTCGAGGATGGCGTCGATCCACTCCCCGAAGCCGCGCACGCACTGCTGCCGGTGCAGCACCACTCCGTTGCAGAAGATGAGTTTCCCTTCCTCTGGCTTAGAGCTGCCACACAAAATCAGATGTCACTCCCGGCACGTCCCTGGGCTCCCCCTGCTCCACCCTGTGCCGCCCTGGGGCTCACCGGTATGCCAGGCGCAGGATGAAGAGCTCCAGGAAGGCTGATTCCAGCAACAGGTCCTGGTCCTCCTTGGGCAGCTCGGCAAATCCCTGGATCTTCTCAGCCCACTTGCGGATGACATCCATGGAGCCAGTGAGGAGGTCATAGAACTGCTGCACGTCCACCGAGTCCTCCTTCTCGAACGGGCACGGTGCCGACTCCTGGAACTGGGATAGGGATGGGATCAGGATTCAGGGTGGGGATGGGTCAACAACCGGGACAGGGATGGATCGGGATCCTTCCCTGGCCCTGGCATGGCCCCAGGGCGGCACTGGCCCTACCTTGGAGTAGTCAAGCTTGGTGGCACTGGGGATGGAGTCGATGTGCGCCCGCACCAGGGAGGTGATGAGGCTGACGGGGGACGCGTCCGGCGGCTGTTTGGGCTTGGAGGGTAGTCGACCTCGTCGTCCCTTCAGGCTGTCAGTCCTGACCACTGCGTGGGGACATGCAATGAGTGTGTCTGTCCTCAGCGCAGCCAGGAGGGCTGCGGAGCAGGGACCCCCAACCGTGTCTGGGTCCCCCCACCAGGACAGGACCCCACTACCTTCTTTAACCATGCCGACCGCCAGGCACTTCTGGAAGCGGCAGAACTGGCAGCGGTTCCTGCGCCGCTTGTCCACGGGGCAATCCTTGTTGGCCAGGCAGATGTACTTGGCGTTCTTCTGCACCGTGCGCTGCGGGCGGGGAAGGAGCGGCAGAGCTCAGCCCGGGGCACCGCGCTCCGAACAAAAGCCCTTCTGTCCTCCCCTGCCTCCCGCTCCAGCCCTGCATCCGGCTCCGCGTCCTTGGGGAGGCTCC